CAGAACAGGCCAGCCAGGGATCTGCCTCTCCCATTAGCTCTGTGACCTTGAGCAAGTGACACACTATTTTCAGAGCTACCGTTTTTCACATGAAAAGCAAAGAGAGTCATTTCATTCCCTTGCAGCCTTCTGGAGACACCAGGGAGAGGAGGGGATGTGAGGGTGTTTTCACAAGAGGCTGAGAGAAGCAAAAGACAGGGAATCGTCATTAGCCGCGGGATTATTTTTCAGCCATAAATGAGAAAGCAAGGGAGCAAAGTTGTATGTGTGCTTCAGAGTGGAGTTCATGCAAGAAGGTGGGCAGGTGTGGGCTCCTTTGTAAGAATTCCCTTTGTTGGGGATTTATTTCTTCAATGTTGAGTCCAGGCCAAGGTTTGTTGTGTTTAGAGAGGGATAGTGGCCATAAAACAGGTATAAGTGGATATAACAGGGAAGCCAAGGGCTCTAAGAAGACTGAGGCCAAGCCCAGGACGTCTCTCCTCCCAGAAAGCACCCCACATTCCCTCTGTGGATTGGGTACCCCTGGCTAGAAGAGAACACCAAACCCCAACTCTCACTGCATCACCCCACCCAACTGAGTAGATTTTACCGGAAGCAGCAGAAAGCTAGGAGCATATTGACATTTAGTAAGTAAATAAATTCCTGTTCAAATGCTCTCCCATCCATTCCACCCCTGCATTCAGGCCAATGGAAAGCTAGTTCCTAAAGCTAGCTGTCCCCTCCTCTACTCCTGCCTGTTAGCCTTCTTCCTCTTACTTCTTCCAATGATATTATTGTTCAGAAACTGGGGAGATGGGTGCCTTAGGTTTTTGCATGCCTCAGCCCGGACAGTCTATAAATTCCTAGGAACAAAGCAGTGCGAGCTATCAAAGCTCCTAGACAGGCCTTCCGGTCTCACTCTCCTTTAAGTCCCACCCCCTCACTTCCTCAGGAAGAGCTAAGGATGGATCAGTGCCTCTCAGGCTCTGGGGACCAGGCTGCAGTCCCTGGAGCTATCTGGAAATGATTAGCCTACAGAATCCAGGTAGCTTCAGACACATACACACAAATACATACATATACACAGACACACAGAAACATGCACAAGTATATATATGCATACATAAATACATCTTTATATACACATGTAATATAAGCATAAACAAACACATACACATGCAGCTTGTGTGACACCCAATCATGCAATAGCCCTGGCCCTGCCTCTCACAATAAACAGGAGACAACAGGAACCACTGTCCTGCTAGGGAGGCTGTGGAGCAGCATTGTCTCCCAGTGCCAGCACCACCACTTGCCACCATCTCCCCTATCCATTCAGCTCAGCTGGGGACCGTCTGTGCACTGTGCTATAAACCAAAGTGAGAAAGCCAGGAAGAACACATTTCTGATCAGGGTATATTTAGGTAAGCAAGGTCTGGGAGGGCTAGAGGTTCTGATGTGTTCATTATGATTGCAATTTGTGGTTTCATTGTTTTACTCAAAACCTATAAATCCAAGCCAGAAATGGATAAAAACTGCACTCAGAAAGTCTTATAGCCATAACTCCAAACAGCCTACAAAAGTTTTGACCAGTCAAAACTCCTCAGAGGAAGATGTCAGAAGACAGGAAATGCAGAATGTTCCAGAATAAGAATTGAACACACACTAAAGAGTGCCCCCAAGACATGCCATATTAACTGACCGAAGGCCTTCACTCTGTGCTTGATGCCCTAAATCCTACCATCAGATATTCACTTCTCTGGCTAAACTGTGACATTTGTTCCCTCAATGAACACTTAGTCATTAGAGTCTATTTGACTAATGAGGAACACAAAGAAACATAGCATTGCATGTTTGTCCCAAGGGCAGAGGTGGGAGCAAATATCTATAACTAAGCAGTCCTTCCATCTTCATAGATGGGGTAAACAGTTGCACTTGGATCAGCACCCCATGTTAAAGTCTGGCTGCCTCTGAGAGTGAGACCTGGTGAGCTTTGTTGACTATCTTACTCCACAGTCTAATGAAGCCTCACATGTTTCCATGACAACAGTACTTGATGGAGTTTCATACAGGAGAGATGATTTTCCTTGAGCCCAGAGGTTAAGAACATAGTAGAAAGAAGCCTCCCTCTAAAAGATGAGGGGTAAATCAATACAATGATCCAGGATATGCCAGAATCAATAGAGAAACTAACCCTTCCCTAGGCTCAATCCTAAAGCGCCTCGGGCAGAAGTGAAATTAGGGTGCCGAAAACCAAGGACAGAAAACAGGGCCAAAAGAACTTGACTCCATCTCTGTCTGATGACATCACACTGAGCTGGGTGGGCTAAGTGAGAATAGTGAGCTCAGAGCAAAACACCCTGCTGATGTCACTAGGAAGCCCTTGGTCCAAAAACCCAAGTTCCCAGAGAAGAACCTGGATCAAAAGATCCTCTCCAACTCAGGAAAACACAAAGCCTTTGGGGCCTTTGGGGAATTTTTTTTTTTTTTTTTTTTTTTTTTTTTTTTGTAGAATATAAAGGAGAAAGAAAATCTAAGCATCCAGAAACCCCGCCTCCCGGGCCTCTTCCGGAAACACAGCGTTCAACCCACTCAGCCTTGGGCCTGTGCCACCCTCTCCACCACCCCCCCCCCCAGAAGATTTCTTTGCTTTTAGAAATTTATCTGGAAACTGTCATCACCACTGTGCTGGTTGGCAGATGTCCCCCAAAGAGAGAGTGGAGTGTACTACACACTACAAGGCATTTCTGGGCTCAGACAGAGAAGAGGACAGGAAGAGGAGGGGTGGCAGAGAAGATGGCTCAGTCTCTGTGCAAGTGATTTTGTGTCACCAGGTCTGGGGATGGGCACTAGGAGATGGAAAGGGGCTTCAACTGGGTCAAGAGATTGGGGATCACTTCTTCCCACTGCTCGTTATCCTGGGGGACAGCACTAGAATAACAGATCCTTCTCCATGACCATGTGTCTGAGTCCACGATAGAGGGAGATAATCTCAGGATACCTGGGCACAGGTAAGACAGAGGCTGAGTCTGGCCAAAAAGCAGACCTTAGGATGGCTTCACAGCAGGGGAATAGATGCTTCTGTGAAGCCATTCTGCGTGTTCAGATCCACGGAAAGCACAAATGGTTGAGAAACAAAAGAGTGGTTTGAGTGCTCACTGAGAGAAGGATGGAAAGTGAAAGCATGACCCAGGAAGATGGGGTGGAGGGACGTGATGTCTTACTGTGTGGTACTTTCTATTCCACTCTCTAGAACCGCAGGTCAAACACTCAAAGTTATTCACCTACTCTCCCAGTTTCTGCCTCTCTGGGGCTCTGTCAATCTACAAGCCCTTCTGGTCACCTCCTAGTAGCTCAGCATCTGTCTTCAATAGGGGTCTATTTGAGGCTTCCTCTGGAGTGTCTTCAGAAGAGCCTTGCAGAGAGGGGAACACTGGAGGTGTAAGGTAAAAACCTAGTAGAGTTTCCCTGGGCGAGTCCACCCACCCATCTCAGAGAGCAAACCCTCAGTCAAGCTTCGTCTAGCACCTGGCCACTCAGGAAACATCTTTCCAGGTGTGTCTGGGGTTCCAGGAAAGCCAATTTAAAGGGTAAGATAAAATGTTCAGAAACCAGAGCCTATGGTGACTTCACCCAGTAACTGCCTTGCCCCTGGCCATTAAGACTAAGCAAGTTGTCTTCTTGGGCTCAGTGAAGGTGACAGTCCTTCAGGTTTAACAAGCACTCAAAGAGAAGCCATGTCTTCAGGACTGTGTTCTGGCAGCCATCCCTCCCCCAACATGGCTCAGCCAAACTGGCAACTAGAAAAGAGACCTAAAGCAGCTTCTGGTCTGGTTCTAGGACAACCGCCTCTTTTACTGGATGGAAACACATTTTGTTCCAAAGAAAGTGACAGGATTCAGTGTGGTGTGGTGGTTCATGCCTGCAGCACAAGGCTGAGGTTGGGTATACAGTGAGCACCAGGCTAGCCTGGAATATAAAAGACCCTGTCCCAAAAGGAGGACGGGGACAAAGAAGAAAGTGGAGGACAACATGGGGAGTGGGAGGAGAAGGAAGGGGAGGAGACAGGGTACCCCAAGATTTCAGCACTGTTTTGTGACAGGTGACCACTAGTGGCCAGTGCCTTCCTAGTCTCTCACACTCTGGAGGTAGTTCAGATTTCAGATGGACCTCATGACCTTGGTCTTAGCCGTACCTTAGGACAGAAGGTTCAGTAGTCCCCTGGAGCTCTGGCCAGGGGACTCCTGAACTTTGTCTGTCTGTCTGTCTGTCTGGGGTCTCATTCCTGCCACCCTGAACCCATGGCAGATCCCCAAAGCAGCTTAGGGTAGAAAGTGAAGCACTAGCTGCAAGCTGGCTTTCTGAGCTCTGCTATATGGGACTGTCCGGGAAGACGCAAACTTACTTACTCTCCTTAACCCTGACAATTTGCCATTGGGATTGGGGATTGCATCACGAAGTTGTGCCCTCCCTTTCCGTGGTTTGACAGAGAACTTTATGAATATCTGAAAAGCTCACCCTCCTATTATGGGCAGCACAGAGGCAAAAACACCTTAGACTCTGATCGGGTTGGAAAATTTAAAAAACAAAAACTGTAGTAACAGGACCTGCCCTCCTTTAGAAGACCCCACACAACTGCCCTGAGGAATTCGGTCCTGCAGTGGGCTCCTTTTGGAGGACTAAACACCTTTGCTCAGAAAGATTACAAGGAGTCAGAAGAAGGGGTGTCAGATCTGCGACTGCTCAAGGCACCCTGGGGGCGAATAAGCCTGAGGCTCCCACCGGCAGAGCCTGCTTCACCGGAAGCGCCTCCACATTAAGCTCCTACTTTATTTTGATTTTTAAACCAACAAGGCAAAGCACCTTTAGTTAAAAGGAGGGACTTCGGAGGTGGGTGAATAGGGGCTTAAGACATGGCCCAGGAAATTTACCGCAGGGTGTTCTAGGGACTCCCGGAAGGAATCCGCAGGACAAGTGACTTGCCAGTACCACCTCCAAGGACAGATATTTTTGGAAAACCGAGGATGAAGGCTGATCGCGCTCCTCTTGGGAGAGTTGCCATCCCTCGAGAGGGAGGCGCCTCCCACCTCACTCCGCTCCTTCTTTTCCATTTCCAGGCTCAACCAGCCAGTTTATAGTCAGTCTCTGGTCCTCATACTCCCGGGAGGTCGGAGGTGTCTCAGGATCTGGCTGGTGGCGGGAAACAGAGGCAGACAGGTGGTCACACCCCCTCATCCAACACCTCCCCCGTGGTTCATCCTTCTCCTTCTTCAAATACAGGAGTGGGAGGGTAAAAATGTCCATTTTAGGGTTACCGTTTTGAGTAACACGGGTCTCAAGGGTTTGGAGAGAAACGGACATATGTGTAAAGGCGGTTACCCGACGCGGTGCTGGGAGGTCTGGCCGTCGTGATCACACAAGCAAACAGTTCAAAGGCCGCATTAATTCAGATATTTATTGCTCTCCTACAAAGCAATCTGCTACTTTGCCTCTTTCGGCCGCTGTGTTGCTATTGCGATCTAGCCCAACGCCTGTCCGGAGAACAGGCTAACCTGGCGCTCCCTTACCAAAGGAAACTGTGGCTGGAAAAGCAAAGAACAAACATTGCATGCCTCAGCGAAAAATGGAAATCACGGAAGAGCGTCTGCGAGCCCCGTGTGCTGGGACCTCCTGTCCAGCTAGAATCCAAGGTCCTGCGAGATTACGGGATCGTATCGGCGAACGTCGCCCGGGATGATAGCTTACTGGGGGGAATGCATCGGTTACCAGGCGCTGCTGGTATTTCCTAGGATCTGGGACCCTGGTGGGAGTCTTTCGACAAGGCCCCCACCTGGCTAAGGACTTTGAAGCAGGGAGGTTTGGGCCCTCAATTCTTCACGTGAAAGGTGTACGTGGGCCTCACACCCCCAACACACACACCAGGAGCTAGATGCTCTCTGGCTCTGACGGTGCAGCACCCCTAAGCCCACTTGACACGCCCTCCACCTACTCCTTTCCCCACTAGTGCTAGCACCCACAGCGAGGGGAGATCAGTGGGCCTCCAGCGGGGAGCTTGGACCCTGCACTGATGGAAGAAAAAAAGGTGAGGGATCCCAGACTAGGGCTTCCCAAAGAACTCTACGGGGTTCTGCTAGCAACTCTGTGTGGGTAATTTGTGAGGTCTTGGCCTCCAATGTCTTCATCCCCTGTGCCCAGGAGAATGCAGAGCCTGAGCATCCACCTAGGGCAGAAGGTTCTAGCCTCACTTTCCCAATCTGTAATCTAAACTTTAGTCTGGAGCAGGATGCTTTCACCCCAAGCCAAGGTCCCCAGACTTGGGGACTGCAAGCCCCTTCCATAATCAGCTCTGGGAAAAGAGATCTGGGCAACGGAAAAGGGCAAGTCACAGTGGGCCGAGTCCGGAATGGTGGGTGGGGAGTGGGCTCTCCAGGCCCTGGAAGAAATTCAGGCCCAGCCACTGTTATTAAACTGATGGTGCCTACCCGCCAGACTTGGCCCGGTCTTGGCACACCAGATAACTCTTGGCACCTGGGGAACAGGGAGCCTTCTCGTTTACTCTCACTCTCCAAGTTGTGTGCAAAAGAGAAACACTGGCATCTGAGGTGTTTTCCCCCACTCCTCTCACCCCCCTCCCCATTCCCTGAAGACAAGCACTTCCCAGCTTCCCCTAACGAGACTGCACAGTTGGATTCGCACACAGGAGAGAATAGGAATAGGAATTCCTGTAGAGATAAGTCCCATCCCGGAAACAGTATTGACTGAGTGGAACACACCACTGCCACCTCCCCCACCCAGGCCCCTGCCTCTCCACCAAGGCGAAAGTTTTCCAGCAGTTTCTCAAAGTTCCAGACAGTTTCTGGGCTTTTGGCGCCCCCTCTGGATGTGGCTGAGAATTGCAGTGCAATTTTAATTTTCAACCGTTTAAAAATTTTTCTAAAAGGATTCGAGAATAGAAAAACGCTTGCGTGGAGGGGCAGAAACATGTAAGAAGTTTCGTGATTTAAAAAGTCATAGCACATTACACCTCACCATAAGTTATGTTGTAGACATATTTATAAATGTATGTGTTCATAAACAAATGTTTAATAAAATATTTCAAAATGTCTTAAGGCCATAGTCGTTTTCATTGCTTTTGTGCCAGAAAACGTGATAATTACAACAAATTACAACTCTCTGGTTTAATACATCTGCCCGTGGTCTCTGCTCTCTTCAACTGGATGTCTGGGGGGGGAGGTTATACAAATACGTCCTCCTTAGGACACAAAATATGTCCACACGAACAAAACTTGACCTCCACTCTGAAATTATATTTTTTTCCTTACAGACAGAGAATAATGAGAGCTACGAATAGGTAGCTATTGTTTGCTCGACTCTTAAACTCGTAAACGGACTATAGGGTACTAGAGACTTGCAATTCCAGTAGCATTCGTTTAAGAAGAAAACCCGACTGAACGGGACTGTGGCTTACTACCTCCTCACGGGTTCCTTTCCCTGTATAACAAATGCCCACTTCGGAAGAAAACCGGGGGGAAACTAGAGTTTCAAAAGTATCCCAAAGAAAAGATTCGTTTAGGTGTCCACGCTTGACAAATTAGAGGGGAGACCTGTCTTTGATATGATACAGGCCGATTCACTTTATCAATAATTTAATAAGTTCAAAGCGAAGTTTTGCAAGAATCAGAAGGGGGGACTTTAAATTAAGTTGCTGCTGTTTTTCTTTTTTACTCCATTGCGCGTTTGTTTGTTCCGAGGGTATGTCACCCGGTAGCAGCTGATATTTTATTCGTTCCAGAAAAGATAATTCTTCCCTTACCCAACCTTGCTGTAAGAGTTCTCGAAAACACCAGCTCTGGCTCCCAGCACTCTTAAAGTACAATGGACACCTACGTGGCCTCCTCCAGAACGCCCACCTGCGCTCAGGTCTAAAGGGACACGACTAAAGTCCAGACGCCTAGCGCTGTGCCCTCCCAGATAAAGGAAGGCCCAAATGAGAGAGTCGCAGGACTCCGCCAAACTGCCTGTTTTGTCTGAAGTTTTCCAGTCCAAGTCACGGGCCTCCTGGGCCTCGCTGCCCGAGCTGCCACCTTTGCAAACTTCACCCTCAACGCCGGAGCAGTTTTGCAAACTCCGGTGGTGACCAAGCTGACGTTTGTGACTCACTCAGACAGGAGGCAAGAAGCAAAACTCTAAAGTAATAACCCTAACACCGAGGGGCGTCCGAGTGCTGGAGGGGCCGGGAAAAGGACTTGTCAGTCCAAGGTCGGCGTGGCCCACGGGACCCGCCAAGAGAACCAGGGACTGCCGGGTCGCCGCCAGCCTTCGCTGGCACTCAGCTTTGGTTTTCATTGATTCCCTCT